ACTACTACCAACATATAATCATTTATTTTATGCAGTGTTCTGCTTCTCAGTGCTCCTATCGTTACCTGGCTTTTGTTTAGCCATCAATGTTATGTAATCCTCTAAGTATTTAGGAGACTTCTTTGCTCTCTGTGACCTTCTCAGCTCTGGGTTACTAGCATGAGTTCCCTGACTGGAGGGAGATGTGAGCCTGTTCTCCTTATTTTGCCTTGGTGCCTTCCAAGGACTGTGCCCCGATACCTGGCCTGCTTGCTTGCCCACCGGGCTCGTCAGGCCAGGGCTTCTGTCACTTTGTGACCTGGTTGACCTGCCTAGCTGTAGACCCTCGGGCCCCTTGAAGTGATAGCCATTGCTGGGCGTCTCTGTTGAACCTCCTAGGTCCATCCAAGACCTGTCAGGAGGCTGACCATTCCCTGAACCCCGTTCTGTGTCCGGGCTTGTGTGGGTTTCTGTACTTTCCCAAAACTCAGTTACTCCCTGATTTGGGCTAGAGGTGTTGTAGTCGGGACTTGGTTCCTCGACCACCTCCCTGTATGTTTGACCCCCTGTAGAATTTGGGGTAAGGTCAGGCCAACCTTGGGGATTGTGTGCCAGCTCTCTTGCGGGGAATGATTTGTTGGGATGCCCCCGGGTATCCTCCGTGACTGGAGTGCTGTGTGATGTGTGTGGAAAGTGAGTATGCCCCCGGGGTGACTCCCTGGCTGGAGTAGGCGTGGATGCCTGGTAGTTAGGTAGGCTCATAGAATTCTTGTTCGGAGCTCTCGCGGAACCCTGGGATGGGCCGTTTGTGGCTCCATCAGTGGAGATGGGCAGCAGCTCGTGCCCTTCCCTTTGCTCCAAAGGGTCCCCCTCCCCCCCTGGAAAAGACCCAGGAGTCTCATCTGAAAAGTCCCGCCTAGGGCGGAGTTGGTCGATGTGCCGACGCAGGACACGACCGTTGTCCAGGGCAACCTCGTAGGAGAGAGGACCTGTGACCCTGGAAATAGAAGCGGGGACCCAGGTATGACCAGGCCCGTAATTGCGAGCCCAAACCGGGGCACCCACAAGTAGTTGTCTAGGTGCCCTAGGATGTGAGGTAGATGAAGGCAGTCTGTCCGGATGCAACCGGTCAAGTTTAGTAGTAAGTTGACGCCCCCAGCGAAGTTCAGCTGGCTTCTCCCTGTAGAAGTGGACGGTGTGGTGCGATAAGAAAGGAGAAAGTCAGCCAACCTGTGATGCCAGTCCCCGTAGGTGAGTCTTTTCAAGGCGTCCTTTGTGATGCGCACCATGCGTTCAGCCATACCGTTGGTGGACGGGTGGAAGGGTGCAGACGTGGCATGACGAATCATGTTAGCCTGTAAGAAAGCTTGGAATTCGGAGGAAGTGAATTGAGGGCCGTTGTCAGACACGATGACATCTGGAAGCCCGTGTGCAGCAAAAATCCCCCTCAGTACCTGAATAGTCTTTGCAGTGGTGGTGGAAGAGACAGGTACAACCTCAAGCCATTTTGAATGGCTGTCAACAAGGACCAAGAAGAACTGGCCCTGAAAGGGCCCAGCGTAGTCAATGTGCACCCTAGACCATGGGGACTGTGTTTCCTCCCATTTATGCACGGGAGCTTGGGGCATCTCTGGGCGAGATCGTTGGCACAGGTGGCATGCATGCACCTTAGCCTCAATATCCTTATCTAAAACAGGCCACCACAAGTGGCTGCGTGCAAGAGCCTTCATACGAACAATGCCAGGATGACCCTCGTGGAGGGATTCTAAGACCCTAGTCCTCATTGAGGTGGGAATGACAACTCTGTTTCCCCACAGCAGACAACCCTGAGAAAGGGACACTCGTTTCTTTTGGACCAGAAACTCTGAAACTCAGGACTAGGGCAGTGCTCAGGCCAACCGGACAAAACCCAGGAACGGACACGTGAAAGTGTGTGATCTGTACCTGTTTCAGCGGCAACCTCCCTAAGAGGGAGCTCGGGCAAGGCTTGGATTGATAGAATGTTGACAGCTGGCGCAGGGTCAGCTTCTACTACTGGCAGAGGCAATCTACTGAGGCCATCAGCATGGCCCATTTCTTTCCCAGGCTTGTGGAGTAAAGAAAAATCATATGCAGACAGAAAAATAGACCACCTAAGCATTCTAGGGGAAATGATTTGGGGAGTCTGCTTACGTGTGGTAAACAGTCCCAGCAGAGGCTTATGGTCAGTAAAGACCGTGAAATGCCTGCCATATAGAAAATCGTGGAATTTTTTAATTCCAGCAACAACAGCCAGAGCCTCCCTGTCTATCTGAGCGTAGTTGCGCTCAGCAGAAGACAATGTTCTGGAGTAATATGCAACAGGAACCTGAGTTCCATCAGACCTGAGGTGGCTCAGGACAGCTCCTACCCCGTAAGGGGACGCATCACATGCGATGCACACAGGAAGAGATTCGTTGAAATGTGCAAGTACACTGTTAGAAGTGAGCAAGGCCTTGACTTTGTTAAAGCAAGCCTCATGTGTTTGTGACCACTGCCACACTGCTTGTTTGTCTAGTAGCCTGTGAAGAGGCTCAGCTACACTAGCTTTATGAGGAAGAAAAGAATTGTAGAAATTCAGGAGGCCCAGGAAGGCCTGAAGTTCAGCCTTGGACTTTGGCCTAGGTGCTTCTAAAATAGCTGTTAGTTTGGATTCAGCAGGGTGAATCCCAGAAGCATCAATTTTGAACCCCAGAAATTCAATAGAAGGCACCCCAATCTTGCATTTGTCTTTTTTGAGCTTGAGGCCTGACTTCCTGAATCTTAACAGAACAGCCCTTAGCCTTTCAGCTAGAATGTGTGTGGAGTCTCCTGCAATTAAGACATCATCAAAGTAGGGGCAAACCCCTGGTATACCCCGTAGTGTGTTTTCCATTACGCTTTGGAAAATCCCAGGAGCGACATTCACTCCAAACTGCAGCCTTTTTACCTTAAAGGCTCCCCTGTGGGTCACAATAGTCTGAGCTATAGCAGCATCATCATCAACAGGCAGCTGCTTGAGCTAGGTCAAGCTTTGCAAAAACGCGCCCCCCCTTGAGGGAGGCCAGAATATGACTGACCACAGGAACAGGATAGGCATGTTGCTGCAATGCCTTATTCAGAGTGCATTTGTAGTCAGCACAAATGCGAATGTCCCCATTTGCCTTTAGAGGCGTGACAATGGGGGTCTCCCAAGGACTGGAATCAACAGGTTCTAGGATTCCCTGTTGAATCAGTTTGTCTAACTCAGTGTCAATTTTACTCTTTAAAGCAAAAGGGACCCTTCTTGCTTTAATTCTAATGGGAGTGACAGTGGGGTCTAGCTTTAAGGACACAGGGGGTCCTTTGAATGTGCCCAGCTGGGGGCTGAAAACATCTGCAAATTCTTTGCAGACTTCCTGTAGGTCGAGTGTTTGTAAGCTGTTGAGTCCTGTGACGTGTATCCCCAGGGCCTCAAACCAATCGAGTCCTATGAGACTCGTTCGTTCACCCCCTACTACTAATAAGTCTAGTGGACCTTCAAAACTCTTGTATTGCACGTTAAGGGTGGCCTCCCCCTTAACACACACTCTTGAATTTTGAAAATCTGTTAACACAATGTCAGAAGGCCTTAACTTGGCCTGAGTTCCACTACCGGAACAAATCTTCCTAAATGTATGCAAGGAGATAATTGAAAAGGCAGACCCTGTGTCTAGTTCCATAGATAATGGAACCCCTTGTAGCTTCACCTTGAGTGACAGCTTTTTCTTAATGGGCTTGTGTGTGCCTGTCCTAAGGATGCTTCTTCGCGAAGCGCAAAAACCTACCCTATTCTGGCTGGGGAATCTGGTACCTTTCAGGCGCAGTTCTTCCTGAGGTTGTACCTTTCGTTGGCCCAGACACACAGCTGCAATGTGTCCTTGTTTGCCGCATGACCGGCAGGTAGTGGAGCGGAACTTGCAGTCGGTTCTCCTGTGGCGACCTCCACAGCCGATGCACTTGAGCGGAGCTGAAGAGCTTCCCTTCTGTTTTTCTTCCGTCGTGGGGTGGAGACGGTCGACTTCCTCGTCCGGATCCTCCTCGGAGTTTCTTTGGGCGTCTTCCTGGTGCACGGATGCAACCTCTGGACTGTTTCTGATCGGCCGCATGTTCTTGACAGCGCCGCCTGCTGCTTCTTCTGCGGTGACTTCCCTTAAGGCATCTTGGTAGGACAATTCTTCTTTAGCGAAAAGTCTTTGTTGTAGATCTCGATGCCTTAACCCGCACACGAATCGGTCCCTCAGTCGTTCTTCGAGGTCTTTGAACTCGCAGTGCTTGGCGGCCTTCCGTAATGCGGCGATGAATTCTTTGGCCGACTCACCGGGCCGTTGATCCCTCTGCTCGAAGGTGTGGCGCCATGCGATGACGGACATCTTGGGGTGGAAGTGCTCCTTCAGTAGCTTCTTCAGATCTGCGTAGCTGACAGACTCTACTGGAACAGGTGCTGCAAGGTTTTCTGCGATGTCGAAGGCGTCTTGACCGCAAACACAAAGCAGGGTGGCAGCCTTCAAGCTCTCTTCCCTCACTTGGTTTGCCTTGAAGTAGTTCTCCACCCTGGCTACGTATGACTCCTACCGCTCTGGATGTGAGACGTCGAATTCCGAAAGCCTTCCGATTTTCGCCATCTTCAGAAGACGGGTCTATCAGCCAGCCTACCCCCGAATGCGCACTGGATTGGCGGGTAGCTGCCGAGTCGACGCTGTTCCGCCGCTCAGGACTCACTTGGGTAAGCTTACACTTCTTCTTTTCCAGGCGGTGTAAGGCAATCCCACCTTCGTCGCCAGTGTTGAGTCCTTGGCGGGAAGCAGACACGAGAAGCAGTGGAAGTTCTCAGTTTCCTTTATTCAGCGTTCAGCTTACAAGTAGATGGCTTCAGCAGCTCCCAAAACCTCCCAGCTTCTTATATAGACGCTTCCCGGGTAAATGTGATACTTTTCCCGCGCCAGCACCCGCGCATGCGCACGGCACTGGCGACAGCCTGTCTGGTCCCGGGCAGCTTTGCACCTGCCCGGGACTGCCTGCAAACGCCCGAGCCGTTTGCAAGGCTCGGGACATAACAGTTACCTAAGAAAAAAGATATTGAAATTTTTTAATTACAACACCACAAGATATCATTCGGAAGCAGCTCAGGTAGATGCCCTTAATTCACTGGAATGTAAGAAGCAGGAAGAGGTGCAGAGGGCAAACATTCATTGCAAGATTCTGGTATTACAGCCAGCCTCAGTTACAGAAGTCTTAGCCGATTTCTGGTCAGGCCCTAGCCCAGGGGTAGCAACCTTGGCTCTTTTATGACTCGTGGACTTCAACTCTAGCTGGCTCAGGAATTCTGAGAGTTGAAGTCATGAGTCATAAAAGAGCCAAGGTTGCCTACCCCTGCCCTTGCCCAAACATGACATAGCGAGATTCAATCAAGCCAATCGTTTATCCGCTTACACCTAATGGACAGAAATTAAACTTCTAACCTTCTAACCTACTAGATGTATCTTGAGAGATTCTAGGCTAGGGTGTACTGTAGGTATCCTGAACCATTTCCTCCTGTCTTCATCCAGTTTGGGATTGCAGAGTCTCTTAATCTGGAAAAGCTCTGTGTTGCCAGCACTTCCGTCCACTGATTCTCCCCGTGCACATTCCATCAGATCTGGTCTACCTGGTGACATTGCTTGAAAAAGTATATGAGAGAATTACTACCACTTGGAGGACATTACTGTTCAATGTGGACTTTAGGACTTAAACAACAGACTAGATTCCCCCCCCCCCCCGGTCCTTTTATTTATTTATTTATAATATTTATGGACCTTCAAGGTAACTCTTCTTACTTACTTCAAAGTAACTCTTGTTCCTTTTTAACTTTCAAGCTGCTGAACATTTCTAGGAGCCGCAGTGGGTCCTGATTTTGTAATGCTTTAGTTATTTCTAATAAAGATATTGATCAATGTAAATTTTACGTTGTTTCTTAAACACCAACAGCCACTGCCTTTGCTTTTTAATAATTCATCCATCTTCCATTTATCTGTAATTCCGTACGTTTGTTTGGCTAAGATAGTCATTGGCTACCCGTGAGCAAAACCTCTCTAGAGTGATGTGCAAATTTAAAACCGCTTTAAAAAAGAAGAAATCACAGTGGGAACAGTGGAAAAGCATAAATGCATGCTCAATAAAATGCCCATTTCCAAAGAAGAGGTTTTTTATTAGAGGATAAGCATGGCTTCCTTTCATTTTTGCAAGTTGTAACCGAATGCAATAAATCTTTCTTCTTTTTCTAACTAGCAAATTACAATGGACTGCTTACTCTGTTCCATGAAATTATATATTTATACTCACCAGAAAAGCTATTTTAACTGAGACAACAGGCCAAAAAAAAAAAAAAAATCAGTTTGGTGTACTGTAATGATCAAGGTGCTGTATTAGAAAATGGGAGACTGGGAGTTCTAGTCCTCCCTTAGGCACGAAAGCCTGCTGGGTGACTTTGGGCCATTTGGTCTCTCTCTGTCCAACCTCCTTCAAGAGATGGGCGCTTTATGTAATATGCCTTGAGTTGTACAAAATCTGTTATTGAATAAGAAAACATTTTCTGCATATTTTAATGGAACAATACATTCTGTTCTTTTTTTGGAAAGTGTATTTTCACTGGTACAGGAGGAGAGCACAAAAAACGGAACAGAGCAAAATTTGTACCCACTGGTATACACAGACATTCTGAGTTAGAGGGGTTTTTCCCAAACTTTCTTAAGTTTTTCATTAATGATGTGGGCAGCGCCAACTGTTCAAGCAAAGCCATCAGGTAGGTTGTTGCTTGCTGACCAACATGTTATCTAAGAGATAACCAGCTGGGTGGCCTTGGGCTAGTCACTTTCTCTCAGCCCCAGGGAAGCAGGCAAGGGCAAACCATTTCTGAAAATCTTGTAAAGAAAACTGCAGGGATAATCCAGGAATCATCAGGAGCAAAATTGATCTGAAATCACAAACAAAGTAAACATTCCTAGTTTAAATAAAATAAACAGACTCCTAGTTTAGATGCAGAATGGAGTTAGTGCTGAAACCCTGACTGCCAAAACAGCACAACAGCAATGGTAGTCATACATAAATAATATGGTAAGTGGATGATAAATAACCCATTCCCCAAAACACAAAAGCCATGAAAAAGTAAAATAAATAAATGCAGTAAAGGACAATACAATGCAATAGTAATAAAGAAAAAACAGCTTTTTTGAGAGCCCAATCTATTCTGCTCGAGCAAATTGACCCCCAGAAGGGCTGGTGAACAGTGGCTACTAGATTTAGTTAGCGTTCAGAAGCTCAGATGGATAGCAGCTGCAACCAGAAAGCTCCACTGTAAAAGCAGGATTTCTTTGATAGAGTATTGATTTTCCTCCATGTATTCATAAACCAGCAGCACATTAGATGTGTGTGTGTGTGTGGGGGGGAGGAAAATATATTTGCATATAAAATTTATTCATGGATCAAAGCCTGGGTGCCGCTTTGCTTTCCCCACCTCTTTCCAGCCATGGAATTCATCTGTGAAGGAAGACTAGAATACAAAGATTAAAAGAATAGAAACAAGACAACATGAGAAGGAACTTTCTGTTTTTGGTAGGAAGGCATTCTTCATTATGTCTCCCATTTTTAATTTCACTCTTCCCTCTAGTTTGACAAAAGCAAAAAAAAAAAAAAAAAAGACAAAGCTGAGTCCATTACATCAAGAGCTTGTGGGGTGTAGTGGTGAAAGTGTTAAACTAGACTTGAGTTCAAGATTCTGTTAGCCACAGAAACTCCCTTGGTGATTTTGAGCCAATCATTGCTCCGTTAGTTCAAGGTACGTTCCAAGAATGCTATTCCCAAAATGAGAGGAAGGAATGCTCACTTTCTAGAGGAATGGCAGCATATAAATTTAATAAAGCACAAATTAGATCGTAGTTGTGAGCAGGGCTGAAATTGTCAGTCTTATTTCATTTTAGTCAAGGGAGGAGCTTTAAGGAGAAAAATGGAGGCTTCACACACTTACGTGGCAAAATAAAATAAAAAACATGAAACTGCAAATCAGGTTGTTGTTGTTTTTTACCAGGTTTGGTCAGAGAAGCTCTCTGGACTATAAAAATGGGAATTGGGGGGCAAATATTTACCATACATCTGAGCTCCCCCCCCCATAGCAGCTCCATTACCATGTCTAGTAGGACAACGTTTAGCTGAAGACTATATCTTGACCAACTTCAGCTGAGATTATGACACTGCAGTAGAATACCAGGAAGATAGATACAATAAAAGGAGGTTAGGTGCTTCAGAGAACATCACTAAAGAAATCTGACTCTCAGGATGAGCAAGGTGCATGATTGACCAGGCAAGGTAATTTCAAATATCAAGATGCAAATGTTGGACTTAAAGAGTGAGTATGCCACAGCACAAATCAAAACTGAAAACAATATATATTTTTTTTCTAGAAAGAACTGCATTTCCTCAGAAACACACCTTCAGGAGTTTATGTTGGCAGTGAGTAGGCCAGAGCCCTCCTTTTTCTTTTGAAACCATCAAACCATCACATTTTTTAAACCTCTTTCTAAAAATGTTTTGAAAGATACAAAAATCCAATACCCTCCCTTTCTATCCATTATTTATCTTTTCTTGTTTTTCTATCTTCTCATTTCATCCCCTCTGTTACTCTACTTTACCTCCCATCTTTAAAGACTTGCCACCTCATCATATTCTTCTGAACTGCAACAATTTAGCTGTTGCCAAAAGAAAATAAGGCTGAAACCATGAGACAGGAAACAGCATCTGTGAAGTCAGCAATAAGGACAGATGAAGTGAAGTATTTACAGTAGTTTTCTTAGCTGCGGCTCATACTTAGCCTATTTTTCTGTCTCTTTGTAACACAGCTTCTACTTTTGATGTTTCAACATAACATAATGAATGACTAAGGGGGGAATTCTTTCTCTTTCTTTCTTTCTTTCTTTTATAGCAGAACAATTGCATTACAAATTTTTACAGCAAAATCATGACATTATGAACAAAATTATAGATAAAATGTTTACTCTAGTAGAAATGGGAAACTCAGCAGCAGTTAAGAAATAATTCATTTCTAGTCATCCAACTGCCCAGAACAGAAACCAGAGTGGTTGCATAAGTAGGAAGCTTTTAATTAAAGATGTAATAGTTTTTCAAAAACTTCAGTTATACTTTGACTAGTTATACTTGGCAGGCTAGTAGTGCAACTGCATTCTATAAAACACTTATACAGTATATCCAATTCTAAAAAAAAATCATGGAATGTTTGCAGAAGAGTGCAACTGTATGATAATGATATCAGCTGGAACGCACAGTGAATTAAAGAGGGATACCAATTACCAAGAAAGATATAATTATGCAGAACATACCTTAGTTTCCTTTGTTACAGTGTTTATTTCGGCTGCATGCTGCTTTTAGTGTTCAGCAAACATATATCAGTTTCTCTTTTAAATAATTGTGCAAAAAAAAAAGTGCTAGGATATTTTTCCTGGATTTTTGTAGTATGAAGGACCTTATCTTAGGTACATTTGAAGGGGGGAGGGACAGGTCACATTTGAAATGAAGGAGTATGGGGAAGGCAGTCTTGTGAAACACAAGTATAGGAAAGAATGAAGATGTTCATTTATTAGTTCCCTATTAGGCACTATTCAAGTGGTCTTTTAAGAAAATAATTTTATGTGCCTGAAATTTTACTTCTTTGCATGAATCATTTGGCAAAATGCTACGTTTGTTTTTTGCCATTATTTATTAATTAATGGGGTCACCAATAAATGCTTTGCAAACAAATCTGTGGGTTAGCATACACTGTGTATTGGCACAGAGATGAAACTGCATATACCCATAATATATTCTGTGCACAGTTTTCATGTTCCATCCAACAGCCTATCTATGGGCAGATCCACAAGTCTGCTTGGCTCACTGCCATTATGGGACACTTACTGTTTCCTAAGCCCAGGAATGGGTGATGATGTCCCCAATGTCCATATTCTCCAGGTTTCTCCATTTCAGCTGCCTTAGACCCTTCACAGTGAATAATCTCTGGTGTATCCTTCCGTTCTAGCAGCAGATGCAGCTCTGATTGGCTACAGTGTCTGACCCGCCCTTTCTTCTTCAGTGCTGACTGACTGATTGCTGATTGGCTCCTGTATGGAACAATCAACCAGTACCTTCTGGAATTGCCAAGTAGCTATTTTCCCCATAGTGGACAGCTACCATTTTTTAAAAATAGTTTTGCAGTTGGCCCAACAATGGTTGTTAAATCGAGGAACTGACCCAGAAGCTGGCACTGCATTCAGCCCTAACTTTTCCCTGTGGAAACCTTTCGGTTTCTGCCCAAGTTCAGTGAAGCAAGCTCCCTTTGCTTTCCTACCCCTTCCCGACAGAAATGCAAAGCTCCCCTTCCTTTTATTTTTTTAAAATAACTTTACTTTGAACAGGAACAGAGCTTCTTTGTTTCTACAAAGCTGTGCTATCAATTCCTCTCCTTTCCACGACCTAGCAGAGAAGTGAGAATCAAAGAGCAACTGCTCCCTACTTTGATTGCAGCAGGAGGAGAGCAAAGTTGGTGCCATAAAGGCCTGGGGTGCTGCGGGAGAGTCTGCCTTAATGTCAGTTGAGACAATGTGGGAAGAGGGTTATGCAAACATCTGGGGATGTGCATGCAAACATCTGGAAAAACAAAAGATACGGACCTAGTGAGGAGTGTACAATCCCTGCAAGGAAAAAGGAGATACTGCTAGATTGGCCCACACAAAAACCAGCAGCCAGAGAGGCTTAATTTTTCTTCATGGATGGAAAGATGAAAAAACAGGTTATGGGGGGTAGGCATAATTTAGGCTGAGCACCAGCCTAACTCTATTGCCAATCCTCTGCAAACCATACCAGAATTTCCAAAGTTGGCTTAAAAAACATCTGGGAATAATGCAAGATATAGATAGTTCTTGATTTACAACCATTTATTTAGTGCCCAAAGTTACAACAGTCTTGTGGAAAACTAAAGGACTCTTACGAATTCCAGAGGGTTTAGCAGAGAGATTTATTGCGCAGGTTGAGAAGCTATAGAGCCGTGGTGGCGAACCTATGGCACGCATGCCACAGGTGGCACGCAGAGCCCTCTCTGTGGGCACTCGCGCCGTCGCCCCAGTCCTAGGCCTTCAGCTATGTTTTATAAAACCTTTTCACTTTAGGCCTCCGCCGCCGTGTGCAAAAAAAAAAAAAGGTTCAATCAATCAATCAATTTCAACTTCTCATGGGAAGAAAAAAGATCTTGCAAAGTTGGAATTGATTGATTGAACTTTTTAGTCCCACCCAGTCTTCCGTTACCACCGCAGCCATGCCCACCCAATGGGCCACGCCCACCCAATGGGCCATGTCCACCCGGCACCTGACGATGCATAAGTGGGTTTTGGGTTGCAGTTTGGGCACTCGGTCTCTAAAAGGTTCACCATCACTGCTATAGAGACAAGCAATTCTGAACCCTGAGGGCGGGCTCAGACTTCAGTTTTATACTTTCCCTTTCTCAGGAACAAAGGAATACACATAGAAATACACATTGTATTACATTAGGTTAGTTTCTCATGGGCATACAATGGAGAATTTGCTACATACATTGTATCCAAATGCAATGCGCATTAGGTTAGTCACATACTACTAACACAGCACTATTCCAGTAATTATGCAGACACATCATTATTCTAGTGATTTTTCATTATTCCACCTTAACAGTACTTAAAAAAGTGACTTATGACTATTTTTCACACATACGACCATTGAAGCCTCCCATGGTCACACGATCAAAATTTGAATGCTAGGCAACTGGCATGTATTTATGATGGTTGCAGTGTTCTGGGATCATGGGATCACCTTTTGAAAACTTCTGATCAGCAAAGTCAATGGGGGGAGCCAGATTCATTTAACAACTGTATTACTCACTTAACAATTGTAGCAAGAAAGGTCATAAAATGGGGCAAAACTCACTTAACTATTTTGTTAGCAATGGAAATTTAGGGCTCAGTTGTGGTTGTAAGTCAATGACTTACCTGTACAAGCAGCTTAAGCTGCAATTCTGAACTATTCTAACTTGAAAATGTTCATTCCTCTTATCTGGTTAGTAGCTAGGATTGGTTTGAAGGGGGAAAACCCCCCACATGACTTCTTCCCCTAATTTTTTTTCTAGGTAAAACAAAAGGCCCAGGTCCTCCCCCACTCCAAATTTTGGGCTATTATGAGCCTGTCTTTATCTGTGGCTGTCTCATTTGTGATTGTTAAAATATATGTACATACATGTTAAAATATACATGTATTTTATGTATATACGTATTTTACATATGTACAAACAGTGCTTTTTTTCTAAAAAAAAAAAAAAAAGGTGCTGGAACTCACACACGTCATACAACCCGCCTTGCCTACCCTACAAGGTTCCATCCAAAAAAGGTGCCAGAACTCTGTTCTGGCCGTTCTGTGAGAAAAAAAGCCCTGTGTACATATATGTACATATGTACATAACATATATGTACATGCATTGTTAAAATATATGTAAATACATCTATGTGCATACTCCTTAAGGAGCCATGCATTTCTTGCACCACAAAAGCTATCAAGGAGCTCTTTGGAAATTCATAAACTCTAGGTGAGTGATCCCCATCCTGCCCCTGGCACCTCCATGAAGCTTGTTTAGTTTTGTTCCCTTTTTCCTTTCCCTAATAAGACTAAGTTTGGGGAAATTACTGTTTTCACTTCTCCAATGAAAGAACCCTTATCTTTCCATCTTCATTGTTGCCACTACTGTAACAGAGAGAAATGGTCAGGCTGACTTCTCCAGGTAGAAGTAATCCAGGGGGGCTGTAGAGCAGTGGTGGTGAACCTATGGTACGCATGCCAGAGGTGGCACTCAGAGCCCTCTCTGTGGGCACATGCACCGTCGCTCCAGCCCCACCTCCCCCCCGCGGCCCCTTCCTCATTCAGCAGCCCCCCGGAGGAGAGTTACCCCGGGCGTGGCCCGCGTGGAGCAGCGTAGCCAAGCACATGGCAGCCAGGCAGCAGGGGCAATATTTCACCCTTGCACCCCGTCGTGCATAGATGATGCTGAGGGGCGCAGGTGGAGGGCATGGCCACCATGGCGCTGCAGGCTGCCTGAGCGATCTGCAGCAGGCCATGGAGGCGGTGAGTAGCCCTGTGGGTGGGCGGGGGAGAGTGGGCGGTGGGGTGGTGTGGTTTTTGGGCACTTGGTCTCTTATTGCTGTAGGGGATAACATAGCAGTTTTTCATCATTTGAAATTTAACCTTTTGATAGATTAATGCTTGTGTATCATTTGCCATTTAGGACACAATTATCATTATTTATTTATTTATTTATATATATATATCCTACCTTTGTTATTTTTTTTAAACAACTCAAGGCAGCCCGACTTACCTAATACTCCTCCCTCCTCCTTCCCCCCCCACAACAACAACCTTGTGAGGTGGGTTTAGGCTGAGAGAGAGTTATGGGCCCAAAGCCAGCTTTTGTCTGAAAGACTTTAGAACTCACAGTTTTCTTGTTTCTAGCCTGGCGCCTTAAGCACTAAACTAAACTGTCTCTCTTGTAGCAATTGTCTGAAATGCTGGTATTCTTATTCCTTTCCAAAGAGCAGGAAAAGAAGCCCAGAGCTATCTTTACAGGCTGCCTCTGACCAGCTAAGCTTGTCAATATTTCTACTGGCTCAGCTGAAGTGCCTTTTACAGCAAACAGACCCTGAGTAGCTGAAGGTTCTTCCCGCCCTCACTTTGTCCCCATGCCAAGAAAGCTTTATCTTCACTTCTCTGCCTCTGCCCTTCTAAAGGGAAACAGCCCTGGCGGTTTCCTTTTTTCCCTCCCTTTTCCTTGGTTACCACAATTCCCTGTCTGTACATTGGACTGGGGCAATATATTTTCTTTTTTATTAAGCATCTATATACCGCAGTATTTAGAACAATATTGTAAATTTTTCTTTGTCCATCAAAAATGCATCTAACCTGGCTTAGAAGAAAGAAGTGATCCGTGAATGACAGGATGAATGTTTTGAATTTGTAAATCTCCATCTGTGAGATTTCCCTCCCCCCCCAACTTTGGGAGGGGAGGTAAATATGTAAATCTTGGATAGATTTATTGGAAGGAGGGTAAGAAAGCACACAAAGATATAATAGCATCAGTGAGACATTGCTGGCTGCTGTGTCAAACTTTGGCACCCGTATTTTCTTTGAAACAGATGTTGGAAAAATCTGAACTGCAGAAGGAATGGTTGAAGAATGATTTGAGGGCTTGGAAAAGCCAGGCTGTAATGGGATCACAGGATCACAATCCTTTCAGCTTGTCAAAGAAGTGACATGATTGCTATGTGTAATTTACCTTTATGAGGAGTGTGTGGTGGATGCCGGATGTCTTTTAGAAGAGGGCAAAAATATAGTGCTATATCACATGGGGCTTCCTGTTAAAGTTGGAGAAACTCATGTTTCTAACTAGGGGGATGACTGAGCACAGAGGCAGACTGCCCAAGGTGGCATCTTCACTTTCATATCTCACCAAACAAATCATAAGCAACTGGCAGGAGGCCAACTGAAACACCCAAAGGCACAGCATTCTCACAACATTTCTGTAGACTTGGACAAAAACCACCTAGCACTGTGTGGGGATATCTCTTGCGATTAGGCCAGGGGTAGGCAACCTCAGCTCTTTTATGACTCAGCTGATTCAGGAATTCTGGGAGTTGAAGTCCATGAGTTATAAAAGAGCTGAGGTTGCCTACCCTGCTCTTATCTTCCCAATATATTTCAACCATGTAAATGTAGTCTTCGACTTACAACAGTTCATTTAGTGACCGTTCAAAGTTACAACAGCACTGAAAAAAGTGATTTATGATTGTCTTTTCACACTTTTTGCACCATTGCAGCGTTTTCCCTATGGTCACGTGATCAAAATTCAAATGCTTGGCAATTGACTCATATTTATGAGGGTTGCTGTGTCCAGGGGTCATGAGATCACCTTCTGACAAGCAAAGTCAATGTTCGCTTAACAACTGTTACTAAGTTAACAACTGCCAGT